AACTTAAAACTTTCATTTACCTTGAGAAAATTGCCGCTGCTAGAAAACCTTTTGAACCTTTTGTGAACATTTTTATAATTTTTATTCAAATTAAATGCTGAATATATATTATTAATGTTATCTGATGTAAGCTACTTGAAGTGTGTATTTCGAATATCATATGCAAATATTGAGAAATTACAGTTATGGTACCGAATTAGAATAGCATGATCACTTGAGCAACAAAAAAAAACTTGTTTCTCTCCAGCTAAAACAACATAATCTGCAACCGGTAAGAACAACCTATTTTAAATTACTTTATGTATGTACCTACATATATAAATATATATGTGTACGTGAGTATGTAATTTTATAAAAATATTAATAAAGACTAAATGTAGATGCACAGAACTAATTTATTCCTCTAAGACTAGATGTACACAGACGTATACGCATACATAAATACATATATATATTCTTACGGGTACAGATATGGATACACATATATACACACTCATATGTATCGCATAATAATCGCGTTGCCGCCACCTGTTGGACCAGTGCACGATATACGGATATTTTCGACGACGACGTTTGTATGTTAGCATTATTTATAGTGACGAGCCGGCGATTTTACATTGAGTATTGCTAAAAAACCGTTACATGTCATTGCCAACTTTTAAATTCACAAGCGGTTAGATATGAATATGCGGGTGTATTTGTAGCGTCAACGTCATCACATTTACGTTGATCAATCGGAGAAATTATATTTACTTTCACGCGACAGTCGCACCCACTTCGTCGAATTACCGGCTGATGTAATGCGCAATGATCGTCAATCGAACTAAAAACTCATTCGACCCGTTGATCGCATTTTAATTTCGTCCTTGCATATTTTTACACGCCTCTTTCACATCCCCTCCCCCCATACGCAAACGCAACATTAACACATATTAACATTACCTTAGTGGTTGTTATTTATACTCTATTTGCAAAACTTGTGTGAGGGGTAGTATAATATCCGACTTGTCGAAGAGCACTTAAAAATTTAGAAAACCCACAGCCAACTTTACGTTATTACTAATTCATTCTCTTTTGAAGTCAAATCAAAACGCCATAAGATGATGATGAGATGTATGAAATGCTGTATGATATGTAAAAATAAATATCTGATATTATATCTAGGTAAATATATTTTCCAACAAACAACTCATATAATTTAAATAGATGGTTATAAAATTATTCCAAAATTTCAAAATCTTAATTTCTTAAAAATTGTGGAAGAAGTATTAAAACTACTCTACATAGACTTACGGAAAAAATATTTTTAAACCATTTTTAACGTGAAAATAATCGAAAATGTTTGCAAAAGAAACCAAATGGATTCTTGAAGTCTCACTTTCATGGTCAATATACGAATTTCCTGAAGATCATAGTCTATCTAAGATAACAGACTTTTTACTTGGGATCAATTATTGTATTCATAACCTTAAAATTCAACGTAGAATGACTGTTAAACAATAGCATTTTAGTTTAGTGTGAATGATACGGTATATAAGTATACATTTCCATGTAGAGATGCAATTGGATTGAACTGAAAATAGTTATTTATCCGCCCTAAATTTCTTGAACGTCCATGGTAAGAGCTAAACGAACTAAGTTAAAGAACTCCTCCACAAAGCGCTTAATTTCTGATATAATATTGGATTCGTGTATTTTTTTATAATATGTGCTCGTATTTTATATTTTACCGTTGCTATGGCATCTTTAATTTTAATTTATAAAGTTTAAATTTGGCTAACGCCAACAACAACCATATATGTATGTTCACGTAAACATATGCAATTGCTGTACGAATATTTTAAAGCAGAAAAAAATTGATTACAGACACGTCGCTAGATTTTTATGAAAGAATAATTTAGAGTTTCTTACCACACAGGTGACTCAAAATACCGCCAATTCATTAGCGATGCTTTTTATTGTTGTTTATTGTTAATAGTGACCGGAATTCGTAGCAAACTGGAATGTTTAAGAACACATGAGATTTTATGCACACACAATATTTTGCATTCTTCGTTTGGCATAGACCAAAAACTTGATCGCGTCTTTTATTCCCGACAAAGAAAGAACTCTGTTCGGTTAATTAAAAAACATAATTTATTATTTTTTGGTTGTTAAATGCAATTAGCTACAACTTATAAATATGTACAAACAAATGCATACATCACATGTGCATGTGTAGCTCAAGTAGTTCACTGAACTTTTGATAGCATGCGTCTGAAATTATAAAGTACTGGTTTGTGGAGGCCACAATCGTCCAGATAAATCGATGAAGTAGTGGGCTGATGCGTTGGTAACGTAATTCTTCTGATGTCACAACTTTTGACACAAATAAGTACAAATGCTGTGATATTTTTAAACACACCTTCAATTTGACACGTTTGTGTTGGTTGGTCAAGCCCCTAATATAGTAAGGCTCGACTGTTGTTTGTAAAAGAGACTCAAATAGAGTGTTATAGGGGGGGGGGAGGTCAATGAGAAATGTTCCCGTTATTTCAAATAAATAACATAATTTCAAAGGATTGGTTACCTATAAGCTTAATTAGCAGAGTAGCGCCTTAGATGCCTTGGCGCGTTTCTTTTAAGTCACATTTCCATGAATTAAATCTACTCTATTTTGCGTTATTATTGAACATATAACTACATAAGTATATAAAATAACATAGAACTCTTTATTCACAAAAAAAGAGTTCTGTTGTCCACTAAAGCCTTTTTATCTATCGCCCATGCATTCAAAGCGCGCATTACTAAATTTTTATTAAACCCGAATCTCGATAAAATACCTCACTAATGAATAGTCGTTATTTATTTATTTATTTAAATATACAAAGAAAAATCGGCGTTATTCAGCTAATATATGAATTTATGATAATGATACATAATTAATTAAATCGACAATTAAAAATGTATTATTGTACTAGGGGTATTGTAATAGACAAATTTAAATTCTGGAAAAAAGGTACTGAGCGAGCCACAGAAGTCCACTTCGTTGTGCAGAGAGTTGACGAGCTTGGCAATACGGCTGTGAGGTCCGTTGAATACATAGTTCTTGGTAGTTTTTGTAGTTGTTAGCACACGATTACATCTCAACGAGAGATTTAAAGAAGTGAATTCGAAACAACTGTTGATGGCAGGCGCGTCAATCAGGCCATTCACAACGTTAAAGAAAAGTATTAAGTTAGCTACCTGACCACGTGCTTGCAGATTGTTGACGTTGATCGTATTGTATTGTATTGGTCGTAGATGTCATTTATTGAGCTATGTCCTACAGAGAGGCCATAACGGTAACCCAAACTCTTACAGAGTTTAATTTGTATGTTTTTCTATACATTTATTGCGGTGTCGGTGAAAGGAGATCGAATTACGGAGCCGTATTCCAAAACTGGAAGAACTAGAGATGAAAAAAGGCGTAGTAATGAGATTTGTGAAATCCGTGCTAGTCCTAGTTATGAAAACAGGAATTTCGAAAGCTTGGAGAGTGATCTTATTACTAGATATTCACTAAGTTGACAATCTTACTTTTTTCTTTACTGTCTACTGGATAAACTCTAGACTTGAGTCTAAATCATAAGTTGAGAGTTAGATATTTTCAGTCATAGACAATTTGCCTCAAAGTTATATAAGGGAAGTTTGAAAGGTGCTAAGCATCACGGTCCGGTAGGTAAAATTAACTATCGCGCGGTGCACTATTATAGACGGAATCAGCCGATTCAGACTCATAACTTTACAAAAAAGATATACTTATCTGCCGGTAATATTTTGACCTTTCTCTTATTTTTTTGGTGGTGACCATCAAAACAATGTCGCATGACGTTTTTTGATTATCCACGCACAGGTGCACATATAACGGATACAACGTGAAAAAGTTCATCATCTCGTCACCGAACATGATACGAAGAAAACGCGATTACCTGGAGAAGGACAAAACTGTCTAGGGGTTCTAGTATGAAATGAAAAAATGCTATTTCGCGCACTTCCGTGACAATGCACCAGCTCACACCTTCGTCATCGCTGGGAAGTTATCGTCGCCACGTAGACTTTCTTTTGCAGACTTCCAGTAAACGTATTTTTCAGACGGTTAAAGGGATTTTGATCATCGCTGGGCCAAGTGTACCAAGCAAAAACGCTATTAGGCTGAGGAATATATTGCCAGTTTTCCAAATTTTTAGTTTTTCTTTTGTAGGCTAAGTAATTATGAGACCATCCTCAAAAAAAAAGCAAGCAGTTTACTTCAACACATACACATATAAAATACAATGTTAAAACTGAGGAACGCTCCTCAGTTGAAAGTCCTGTGGGAATTATATAAAGACAGATACTATATTATCTTAAAGGAATATTTGAAAAAATGCTCATATAACATTGGTTTCAATCGAAGGCATACAATTTGTTATAATAAAAAATACAAGTGCATATGTTTTTTTCTATTTTAGGATATGCCTGACACATTTGGAATTGCTGGAAAGTAAAATTTTGTTTTTTAGCTTATTCATAAATGTATTTATAATAAACTTGTTTATTTCTTACTAATCATAGCGACGCGCACCGGATAATAATTTACATTACTTAGCTTGTTGTAATGAATACTTGAATTGCTACTAATAGCATAACGCAAAGCGTTGTTTTTTTTTTTTAATTTTATGTGCGTGTAAATGTGCACGAAATATGTATAAAAAGAATGCAACAAAAAGCAAAAATATGAAAATAACAGTTGGCTTATCTGCAAGCATGCAAATAATCAACAACGGAATTGATGTTGCATTGTTCGATTTATGAACTGTCAAATAGTTTCCTACTCCCACCCAAAATTCTATAGTGCTGTTGTTGTTTTGTTTCTAATCGGTTGTTAATTCGAACGTGTGTTCATGTTTTAACGTTCGTCACTTGCTGCTTATGTTTATCTCCCAATCAATCACAAATAAAAACTGCTTGTTGTTTTTATTGTACACAACAGTAGTTGATGTGTAACTAAGCGATCGCATTTATTGCTCTCAATTAATAATGTTCGCGCTCTTTATTTGAGCGCCACTAATACCTGCGCTCTCAGACGCTGAATCGTTGAACGGTATGCTGTGCGCTTGCGTTGTTCGCGTTGTTGTCAGCCAGTGCTTCGGTTTGTGCATCGCTGTGTGTGTTTGTGTGTTGCGGCAATCCTTTCTTTCATTACCTGTCGTCAAGTCGACGCGAATATATAAATGAACCAATTGAAATTAGCGCTTTCATTTGCACTCGATATTTTAATTATGAAACATATCGCTGAACGCGGCGAATTCAAGCACAATTAAGAACAGAAAGTGCCCGGAGACAAACAGCATTTGAATTACGGTTAGCGCTGCGTGTGTGAAACAAGTGAAATTTGAGTCTATTAAATTATTATTTTTTCATATTTTCGAAAGAGTGTTGAATATCAAGGAAAGAAAAATTTCAAATTTTAAAAATACTAATAAGTGACAAAACAGCATATGTAAAAAGGCAGTTGGAACATAAAAAACAAACTGTAAAAACTTTAATTTATTTGAAAAAAATAAAGTGTCTAAAAAAATATATATATATATCTGCGTGCTTCTAAGCTTTAATTGTTTATCCAACTTCACAAAAAACAAATAAAAAATGCATATAACGGTAAGTGTAGTGCAGTGCTAGTAAATTGGTGAACAAAATAATACAACAACCTACCTAACAAAGTTAACTAAAGGTTATAATTTTCCTACTTTAGTTTCACTAAACACATAAATTCTTACCTTCGAAAAGTGCAATTTAATGTACTTTTTTGTTTTCTTCTTTGCCTTGGGACTTTCCATTTCTCACAGCTGTTGTATCGTAGCACGATGCAGTTAAAAATAACGTTTTATTTCGGCTTTACTTCTCTACCCAATGTTCTCTGTGCTCAGTTCGGCAATTCGGCATATATTGAATTTGAACGCAACGCCTCATTCTTACATTGTTTATCGCAAATACTTCCGTATCTTAATTTAATGCCGGCATCTTGTTGCGCTTGTGTGTACACAGCTACATATGTTAATGTGTATGTTCAGTGTGTTGCATAAGTTCGATATGTGTAAGTTGACAAATAAGGCAAAACAAGAATAATATTTCTGAGCATTTTTGTAGAGCATTAAGGTGAAATACCCATGTTGCGTAGAAATTTAAGAAATAGTTGAAATAAAATGCGTGAGTCATCAATCCAAAAGCATTTTGTTGGCCTGTAACACGTTGCCAAAAATTTAATATATATAAATGTAAGTATGTAGCTGCTGACCTCTCTATGTGTGAGTCAATATGTATGAATGTTCGAATTTCATAACAAGTGAAATTGGGTTTCTAAGACAATGATGACTGTGCGAGAGTTTCACCGTTGCTGATGTCTCTTGTCGTGTTGTTATTGTGAAACGATAAAAAAAAAAAATACCGGCAAAATTAATTGTAAAATAATAAAGAATGCAAATAATGAGTTTATGCTTGCGATTTTTTCTACAGATTTTCTTATATTTATTATTAAATATATTTTTTCTACTATTTAATTCGATCGGATTGAGTGCTTATTAAGTTTCTGTTAGACTAATTTTAAATCGCGATCGCCCTTATCATTTTTGTTACATCTGATCTTTATATATTCAACACACTTATAATTCCATAACAATAGTTTAGCGTAGTGAGTGTTAAAGTAGTTATATTAATCCATTTCAATAAAGAACTCATCGATAAGATGTGACAAGTGATTTGATTGATTAAGAAAAAAGCTGGTACAAATGCTAACGTGTATTAAAATGTTATATATTCAGATATTCATAGAGAGATGTTAATAAGATTTCTGATGCTGAGGCTTAGTGAGCTTGTTTGTATGCGTGTTGAGGAGTAATTCCTTTTTCTGTAGTACTATTAAGCCCATCATATAACAAATTTGCTACTGAAAGTTAGCAATAGAACTAAATAAAATCCATGTATGTTTTTCAGTAGTATTATATGGGCCGAAATATGTAACAGAGGGACTAGCTATCCTAGCAGAAAAAGTGATGGTGATAAAAGACTCTTTCCTAAATTTTATTATTTAGTTTATTATAACGTAGATGAGTATAATAAGAAAAGATCTAATAAAACAGGTATAAGTTGAGATTTCAAGATGCTAAATTTATACTTTAGAATTCTTTCTACAACACAAAAGGCACACTAAAAATTTGTCGTAATATAAATAGTATTGAATAGTGTAAAACCCAATCTTTATACTTTAGTCTTTTAGTTTGCCACAAAGTTTATAACACTCAGCCGGAAACGTGGAAGTACTAGTCCCTAAATTTTAGAGATATCGCTATGAAATTTTGCATAAGCCCTTTTCTTGCCAAGTAACTATTTATTTCTTGGAATTGCCGATATCGGAAGACTATAGCATATGGCTGCCATATAATCTGATCGATCAAATTCAAATTCTTGTATGGAAAAATTATTACTTGACAATATATCTTTACTAAATTTGGTATAGGTTATTATCCAAGGCAATGCCACAATACCCGAACATTTCTTTTAGAAAACTTGTTTTTCTGGATAATATGTATTCTATTTTTACATAAATTAATAATGTAAATTATAAAATAGCATTTCCCGAAACATTAATAAATGTGTTAAGTAAATAGAAACCTCTCCAATCAACACTTTCTAATTATATAACCAAATAAAAATAAAAAAAAGAAGATGTTCGTGTCTTAAGTCTTTTATATCTATGAGTGTAAATGTTTGGTGCGCGATGGCGTATACGTAACTTGCAGCAAACAGTTTTTAATTCAAAAGGGATATATATATATATCAAAACAAATATATGTATACATTATATTTTCGTTAATCTAATTTCGAAATAAAAACTCAACAATAACAACATATGAATATGTTCCTCTTATCTTACAGCTGCGAATACTATTGCCCACACTCCTTATTTGCGGCGCGGTGGCGAAAAGTCATGCCTACTGTTCGCTGGAAAAGATGAAGATGTTCGCCATGGAAGCGTGTGAGCACCTATTCCAGCAAGATGAGGGCAGAGAGAAGCGTTCACTGCCCATACCATATGAACACAATTACATACATCACAATGAATGTAAGTTGAATATGAAATAAAATGAAATGAAAATTATTTGCGAACAAATGCATTTGTTCTTGAGCATATATGTACATATATTATACAAACTTATGTGTGTACACAAGTTGAGTTACTTGTAGACTGAAAAGCGCGTAAAAAACGTAGGAAGAAATGTAACGTACAATATACTTGTGACAAGGCACGAATTTGGCACGCGTTAATTTATTGTCAACTGAAATAGCACTGAAGGTGTTAACAAGTGGCATGCAAAAAATTTTATTAAGTGATGTACTTGCACTTGCGCGCATACTTAAGTGCATATATTCACTTGCATATACTTGAGTCCGTATATGGAATAATAAATATTTACGTTGACTTTACGTCGTTTCAACGCCAACAGTAGATATGCACAAAAATGTCTTCTTTTATTAAAGCAAAAAGATTTTTGTAAATAAAAAATATAAAAAAATTTAGTTTAAATCGAACGGCAGCAAGATTGACAACGTGACTGTGTTTACATGTGGCGGCTGGCTGACATGGAAAGGCCGCCAAGTCAGTCAACTTTGGCATTGCATTTCATTTTTACAGTTTCTGTCGATTAAACGGCAAATGCAAATAACAAGTAGACTTAACAAAACTATATAAAAATAATATTTTTTTGTTTTATATAAGTTCGCAGTTTACAGGCGGAAGTATGAAATTTATCTGGAATTTATTTCGCGTTTTTAGTTCATTAGTAGTAATTTTGGTTCATATACTGCATATTATTAACTTTGTTGTTGCTTTCATATGAAATTTTTGTTTTTTCAAGCTAGTAGAAGAAGCATGCATTAACTTTTTTTGTCGCCTATCACCTGGGCACCTCAGAGATTTAAAGAACTGTATTGGAGAAAATTTCAAAAAGTCCAAAACCATAAAAATTCTGTGACGTACTGAATTCCAACGAATTACTGGTGGTCAAAAATCAACTCAACTTCCACTTTGAAACAAAAAAGTACCACATACGTAACATATGTATATAAAATCAGAAACATGCATATTATTCAACTTTTGTATGTACATATGTATATGTAAGCGTGTGAGTCAATATTTTTGGGTAGACATTTATACTCAGTTAGCTTAAAAATAAAATTTAGTAGCTTCTCTTACCCGTTTTTTTGTTGGGGTTCTTTGTTTTTGCAATCAGTAATCAGCAATTTGCGTCAATGCAGATTTTGGAAACCACGCATATTGTTTTTCGCCTGCATAGCGACTAAATATATTTAATATAAATATTTACTGACATCTTAAGACTTTTATTGACAATTATATTGTTTGTGGATTGAAATTAAATTAAATTCTTTTTCTCTCTTCTTCCACACACATGCATATATAGATCCCAAATTGAATGATAAAAGTCACTTCATCAGCCGCAGCTTATACCCACATGGTGGTTACTTGAAAGTGGGCCAAGAGCACTTCAAAATTCTGAGTAAAGTCGATGTCTTTCCACGTTACAAGCCGAAAAAGCTGCATCACGACAAGAAGGAACGCTACAAGCGTGAACATGCGCTCAGCTACAACAATATACCATATTGTTGTTACAACAAATGTGAAGAGGATTTCTTCTGCTAAGCTTTAAGTTGACAACACAGTTTATCAGCTTTAAAGTAAACGTCCGTCCAGCCGTTAGCAAGCAAGATCAACATTCCAGCCAATAACCGTTAAATACATAATATTTATAATTCTTTAATTGTTTTTAAAAATTTAAGTTTTATAATTGTAAATATTGTTAGAGTTAGAAAAAATAATACTTAGAAAAAAATAATGCGTAATATCCTAGTAGTGCAGTAGAGCGCACAATGCATCATGTGTACCTTATTAATTATTATTTATTAAATAGTCTTTACAAATATAAAAAAAATAATTTATATATATTATTATATATCTATGAATGTAGTTTATATACATATATATATTTCTATAATTATTTGAAACTAAGCTAAGTATATAATTATATACATTTAATACAAATATGTAAATATGAAAATGTATGTATTTATATATATATATGTATTTTTACATACTTGTAAACAAAAATTATGTTCACCGACTTTGAAATCTTCTTCGTCATTTCATCCATCAGACAGTATTAGCAGTTGGCATTGCGAATTCATCATTTTATATATGCATTATTATATTTAAAAAAACACACAGTCATATATTTATTATTACTTGTTATATACTTTTATATGTGAATACAAAATAAATACAAAATCTAGTTAATATAGTTAAATATTTGGTCGTTACTATTTCCTAACATGACTTTTTTATTTCAGACATAAAAACCAAACAAAAATTTTGTTGCGACGAGTTTTTCGTTGCATGCTTTTAGGCAGCGGTAAATTTAACATCTTTAACCCTGCAATGTGCGTATTTTATTTGAACCTTTCAGCCATAAATGGTTTATATGTGTGTATTTGTATAATCCATCTGAATATAAATATCATATATACCACTTTCTAATGTCTTTCTTTTCAAATAATAATATTTTATTGTGCAAAATTCCCGCTGTCGTTTTAATTTGACTAAAACATAATTTTACATTCACGCAATATGGCATTTATATTGCGCGCTTTCCATTTAGAAGCAGACACTTACACATGATTGTTCAAATATCTTTGAACATGCTGATCTTGGACAATGCCGAATTCAAAAACATATGAATTTAAATGTAATACGCATGTGATAATAAAGAAACGAAAATGCACATAGAATTATAAACAAACATACATACCTAACAAATAGGGAAGTTCTAAGTTCGGGTGTAACCGAACATTTTATACTCTCGCAACTTGCATGGATCAAAGCCCGGGAAATTACTTCAGGTGTTGACAAAATTTTATATTGAAGGAAGTATTGATCGGATTCAACCCATTTTTGACACAAAACATACTATTATCGAGAGATAATATGATTATGATAAATGATAAAATGATTTTATTATATGAATTTCAATTACATATATAATATATCTTAACATTTACCGATATTTTCAGTAAAAAGGCAACTATAAGCACTGGGGTGCACATATTCAGTACCTAGAGGCTTGAACAATTTTGGTTCAATTTAGAGAATTTTTGGTGACAAGGTGACACACTTTCATTGCACTATTCACGCAAAGTCTTACCCCGATACAAAAATTGTTGCTTGATATGCATAGTGGAAAGTGAAAGAATCAGATGGAATTTAAAATGATGTTATATGGGAAATAGGCGTAGTTGTAATCTGATTTCGCCCATAGAAATATGAGCAAAATGTTATGTACCGAATTTAGTTGAAATCGGTTAAGCAGATCCCAGGATATGGGTTTTCACTTACAAGTGGGCGGTGCCACACCCACTGTCTAATTTAAAAGCGGTTCCTATAAAATCATCTTATACCATCCCAGAGATAAAATTTAATGTCTCTGGCGTGTTTAGTGCTTGATTTATCGCGCTTTTAGTAGTTTTTACCAGTACCGTTATATGAGGAGTGGGCGGAGTTGCCACCCGATTTCAACTATTTTCACACCGTCCATAGAAGTGCTAAAAACATTTGCTTCTAGTGAATTTTGTTATTATAGCATTAGCGGTTTAGGAGATATGCACATTAAACCTATTAGAGGCGGGACCACGCCCACTAAAAAATGTATCTTACTGTGGAGCTTAGCTATGGCAATTTATTTGGTTTAAATTAATGGCGTTTTGTGGGCACGGCAGTGGTCCGATTATCACCATCATTACCAAGAAATATGTGTAAAAAAGTTTCATAAGGATATCTCAATTTTTACTCAAGTTACAGCTTGCACGGACGGACAGACAGTCACCCGGATTATATAATATATAACCCTACGCCGAAACTTTGTATACGTGTTTCTGGCACCATGAGAAAGTTAGGATTTCATATGGACGGTCTCGGGTCATTTCCACGCTCAAAACACACGCCTATAAAGTGCCACAACTAAGTTTCACAATAAGATACAGAACAGAAGATAACTTGGCATTTACTGACTATATAAAATTTGAGAAGTCAATTCAGCTTAAATGAAGATTGTTTGTACATGAATAAATATACATATATATATACTTACTTCCAACTTGGAATTGTAGATAAATGCTGATGATAGTTCTTCTCTTTCCGAAATATTCAATGAACATTCTGCCCTTGAACCGAACCCCGAACGCTTTTATTTTAAAATGCGAAAACCAATTCGGGAACGACCGAAAAAAATGGTCCGGTTCAAAATAAAAATACCCAAAAAACATTTTTAAGTTACATACACGACGTGCTTAAAAATGCAACCCTTATGATAAGCTACCACAAATTTACTTAAATGCAACACAATGAGATGTCACTTTACACTGTAATTTCAAATAACCGCGTCTGTGTTCTCATAAGGATGGCATACTTTTAAAGTGATTATTTTGTAAATATATTTGAAATGAGTATGAATCCAGTACATAAACGCTTTTATTTTAACAAAAATTATTATACAACTTAGGGAATACATTGCAAGATTAAAATAAAAGGAGAACATACACAAAATTTGGGATACGTTTTTTGTAGTGATTTGCAGCCCTGCAAAATATAGATGTCATAAATTTACCAACTGACTTTTGAGTCTTTCGATTGAAATCCGGAGTACAATGATAAAGCCATGTCGTTACATATCGATGCTAAAATTTCGATTTATTGCATTTAAATAGCTAACTAACGTATTAGCTGTGTCGAAATTTGTTTTTAAGGTTAACACCTCTCTCTTGGAAGTCCATTGGGTACACCAACTTTCGTGTTTTGTAGGCCAGGTTCGGATAATACTCATTAAACTACATTTTAGCATCATAAATAATTTTAAAACCACTTCTGGTGCAACCGAACATTTTATACTATTGCAACTTGACGCAGAAATAAACCTTTAAGTGTTAGGAAAACTTTATATTAAAAAAATTTTGCGAATAAATTCAACAATTATTATTCGACGAAATCGTGAATGTATTGTAATTAAATTTGGTATTTTATTAAGTTATATTATAGGTCATTAACTCACTAAGTTTTATGACTACATTTTACTTTACGTCAGCTAAAATTATATTAAAATCATCTTCAAACGATATATATGGGATATAAACTCAACTGAAGAAGCTAAATGTAATGTAATGAGTTGATGTGAAAACGTCAACCAAAGAATCGCAATTCATTACTTTATGGATATAAGATTTAGAGCAAAGTCTAGACTAATTGCATTCATATTCCCAAACAAGTTTTAAGAAAACTTATTAAAGTAACACACCTTTTTTCAGGTAGAGACGCAAATTATTATGGTATACAGGCTATATTGGGAACAAAGAATTTAAGTTCATTTTGACATTTCTGAGGTATACATGAGATCATAATTTCAAGCAATTTTATAAATATATAACTCGCAAATTGAACGACATGTTCGGCATAAGGTTTGTTAGAGTAACGAAAATCCATATATGTAGTATTTGGGAGTTGAGGTAATTCGTAGACTAAACTCACATATTTTCGGCATTAAACTGTATTATATCCAATATTATACGTTCAGTTAATTTTGCTAAGATATTTTACATACAGATATATATGGCTTAAGGCTAACCGAAAGTTTGAAAATTTTATATTAAGTAAATGAGAGATAGGGGTAGTATTGACCCGATTTTTGAATATATGGGGGCTAGGGCAAGTTTTCGCCCGATTTTACTTATTTTAGGCATAAGAATGCACCATTATTAGAAAAATACATCCACTTAATTTTATTAATATTTTTTACACTTTACATTTAGTCGTACTATTATGAGGAAAAAAGTCAACTGTAGGCACTGGAGAGTCAAATAATCATAAAGAATTTAAAATTGAGTCATATGCGAAGTGACAGTATACAAATGTCAACAATATACAAATGTCATAGAAATACAACCTGCTGAGGTTGGTGGAAATCGGCAGAGCAGGTCCCGAGATATGAGTTTTACGCCCTTCTTCCAATTTTTACATCTGCTCCTATAAAACCTCCTTGAATAATCTCGGATATACGGTTTAATGTCTCTGGTTATTGATTGTCAGTTTGAGTAGATATACCCATTTAATCCATTTTCACACTGTTGAAAGAAGAGTCGATAATATGTACTCTGCGCAAATCTGGTCATAAATCTCGCATAATTTAGAAGATATATACATTAAAAATTTTAGGAGGCGCGGCCACTCTAACTTTTTCAAAATTTTTCAATCATAGATACCCCTCCTTAATGCAATTTCCTGTACCAAATTACAGGGTTTTATCTTAATTAAGAGCTTAGTTGTGGCATTTTATAAGTTTTCGATTTATCACGTTTTGTGGGTGTGGCAGTGAATCGATTACGCCTATCTAAAATACCTAACTTCTTATGGTGCCGAACAAAATGTGTACCAATTTTCATCAAGATATCATAATTTTTACTTCAGCTACAGCTTGCACGGACGAACATAGAGACTTTCGCCCAGATTTCAACTGGTCTCGTCATCCTGATCTTTTATTATATACAAGTATATGTGTATATAACCCTATATTTTACACGATTATTTTTAGGGGACACAAACAACCATAAGCAACCTGTTTTTCTTTTTTATCCAGTTTTTCGAAGTTTTTTAGCCATGATGATAATCCACAAGGCATTGTTGAGACGCCGTTACTTCCACATATGGTCACTGATTGGAAATAAATATTGTAAAATAACTTTTAAAATAAAAAAAGAAATTATTTAGATTTAGATTTAGATATTGGCGTTATGGACAAATGACCAGCTTCTAGGGGCGAAGGGAACGTTTCAGATCGATATCTTAAAAACTGAGGAACTAGTTCGCGTACATACAAACAAACAGACATGACTAAATCGACTCAGTTCATCACGCAGATCATTGATATATATTATTTATATCCGACGATTCCTTCAAACTTAATAAAGCTTGTTCATCGTTTTAAACCATTTTAATAAAGGAAATTAAATACGTATGTATATAAAAACATTAACATTTTGGTCATTTTGGACTGACAGATATTTTGGAATTTAATTTTATCATTCTGAAAATTTGAATAAAAACAATTCTCTATCGATACCCATTATTTTAAATTGTTACAAACAACCGTTAGGTGTTACTAAACTACAGTACTTTTTGTTATGAGAATTGGGGATATAAATTTTATGAAACTACTCATTAAAATATTTCGCACATAACGGTAACGTGCTTGTGTAAATGTTTGTAAAAATTCATACGTCATGAGCTCACTTTAAAACCCTTGCATTTTCAATTAATGTTATTCAAAGTAAATTCATTCATAGTTCCTTTACTCCTAAAATGACTAATCGTAATATAGGTAAGTATGTACTATATGTGTAAGTGCAAAGTAATGCACAGTATATACATTTCGGGGGTTTCTCCATTACCATGGTTTTTCACCAATTTCCCTTCTAAGGTTTTTATCACTTAGAAGTGCATAAATGCATATATATATATATATATATACGTACGACTACATATATAATTTTCTGAGTAATTTTTTTGTGTTATGGGCGCTGCATAAAACTGATGCTGAACGCTTGGACAATGCAGTATGTACCATACTTATAGAATATAGTACATACACTTTGAAAGCGCTCTTGTTTCTCTTTATCTTATTTTTCACTGGGATTTCACCGCAAAAGCTTTATGAACCTACAAACAAACTTATATTCGTATATGAGTATATGACCATAGCGTGTTGATCGTTGCTCTTTCTCGCATCTCATTGCTAGCAAACGGGAGAATGGACAGTAGTTGTTTGATCGCGTATGTTCAAAAATCAGTTCATCGGGAGCCTTAAAAGCGATTGCACACTTGACTAGTGTAACTTTTGTGAAAAAATCATAAAAAAATCATAAAAAAATAAAACAAACAAATAAAAAACGAAAATATAAAGAATATATATATTTGCTAATAATAATAATACCCAAGTCATAAAACATATTTTAAGCTACAAAAAATACAAAAAGTGTATCAGCACCATTATAATACATAGCATATACATAATTTCGCAATTTTTATCAACGCTCGAGTGTATAGCATATATAAGAATAAGCATAGTAATGGCCACAGCACAGCAGCCAAATGGTTTACTTAACACTAAAACCGGCTTAAAGAAAGAGGTAAGTTAATTTATGATTTTATTTTTCCCTTAAACTATGACTAATACTATCGTGTGCGTGTGTGAAGTCAATAAATACAATGTATGTGTTTGTGTGTTTGTTTGTATTGCCGGTGATCATGCCACTAACTATAAATGCTTTTAATTGGAATTTAGCGATCGTAGTTGTAAGTTAACTTTAAATACGGTAATTAATACTGAGTTATTGGCACATTTATAAACTTAATTTTTTGTATTTAGTATTTGGTTATGTAAACTTTAACTAATAAATTTATAAACTTTGGCATGCCATTACATTTTTTATATTTTGTTATTTATTAAATGCTGAAAAATTTTAATGCAATAGTGTTGTAAATAGTTAAACGTCTATATATATATACTCCGTTTGGCGATTAATAAAAAAATTTAAGAAATATGTACTCATTTTGCTTACTCAAAAATAATGTCAAATGTTGTGCTTTGCGGATCCCACGCCTATTATCATACCGGAAGCAGAGGAATTAAAATACTGGGAAATCTCACCTATTTCAATTATACTGCAAATTGTAATCTCATGTGCATGTCAACACACTCACTCAGATTTATAGGAAACCAATTAATAGTTCCCGCATTGTCATAAAGCGCAGTTGGTAATTAAAAACAAAAAAACAAAAATAAAACAATTTCTTAACCAGTAGGTGCGGATCCAAATGAAAATATTTTTTTTTATATAGATACATATATACATAAAAGATTTTAGAAATGATTCGAACATATGAACAGCTTTATCACATTATGTAATATTGTATATTATCTCACTCATATTATCAGCTTAGTTGAGCATAGACAATTAAAAATGCGGCAAGCTTCCCTAAGCCAGCAATTTGTAGTGGTCGTTTATTTTCAACATAAGTTTTTCGAAGAAGAGAAGAATAATACTTTTTAGCGAACTGAATAATAAAAAAAGTGTATATAAATTTACATTAATAATAATTTTGGTTTAAATGCGAAGTTGTATCATAGATTGACTATGCTTTAGAAAAGTGAAGTTCTTCCACTGAAAATAATTTTTTTTATAGAAGTTCCTTATTCAATATTAAGCTATCTAAGGGTTAAGTGAAGACTTTTATTAGTATTCTCAAAAGGTAGAAGTAAGTTATCAAAAGATTAACTTATATTTAATGACTCATAAAGTTATTTCCATTGTGGACAAAATACCCTTTAAACCCCTTGCTAAATTTATCCAAGTACAAATCACGAAGTAATTGTTTAAACATCATTACTTGATATTTTATGAGAAACTTTATAAGCCACTGAAATGTTCTGTATGTACTATCGAAGAACGAGGTTTTATAACTTTTATTTCTGGGAGAGCTCAACAAGAATTGAATCCAAATGTTTTAGTTAGACATAATCTTCAAAGACCTGCGTTGACTGACGATGCACCGTGTCACAATTCAATCAAAACGCTGACACAATTTGGGCTTTAAATTGCTTACGCATACAGCATATTCTCTGGATTCTTTTGTATTTTGAAACAACTCTTTATTTAAAAAAAAATCGTTTCGCTTCAAAACAGAATTCTGATGAATCACACATTTTTGTCTTTGTCTCAATATTTGTTGCATGCACAAATCTTATAAAAATAATATTATATATGCTTATTTTCATATGTAACATGTATATGACCAGTGAAAACAACAAATAATTTAATTATTTAACGATAAATTGAAACGTGTACAATGCTTGTTCATTTATGTAATGCTGAACATGAACATTGATTGCTTTTATATATTTAAGCCTAATATTATATTATATTAACATACGTGCGTACATATGGTATACAATAAGCTAATAGACACAAACTGTTGTCGCAACATTCTGTTGAATGAAATCTTTTGTTGACTTTAAATGTTTTCTAAATATTTTCACTTTTATTAAAGCCCAAACATTCTCTATTGGTTTGACACCTCATACCCCAAGTCCATAAGCAGAGAGGCATTCTTAAACATGCACCTTTTGGGGGTGCTTAACAATCCTTTGAACAAATTTTTGTCTTTTTTTTAGCCAAACGCATCTCGAGGGGTTGAACAATATAAAAGTTGACTTACCTGTATATATTACATTGCTCCAATCACGGTTGATGTTTTCCTGCGCCCAGTGCATTTTCTTCTCAATGTGTGTTTTCGAAATTAGGGGTTTGATTACAGTACTGCTGCGTTTGATGTCTGATCTCTGAAGTCTCTTCCGTTTTGTATTTAGAGATATAATTAATTACTTTTTAAGCTACTTTTTTAGCCTTCTTAGACTGAACAATGGTTTCTTCTCAAAAAGAAGAACAATAGCTTTGGCCTCTCTTTTAGATGTCATGTGAATCCTCCCTTTTCTTGGTTTTTCATCAACGTTTCCAGTTTCTCCATAATGGTCAGTCCATCTATTCACAAATGTACAACTCGTATTTAAATACTTAGCAGTTTTTTTTGATAGTAAATTAGTAGAAAGGTTGCCTCAAAACGTTTCTTATACGCACGACGTGACACATTAGAAAGTCGAAAAATCTAACCAAATTGTACCCGTCAGTGCACTGTAATTAATTTAATAATATCGCAAGTGGTTGGTTTTACATGGATCTGCCGCTTTTGTGACGCATGTGTATATATATAGAATTTTACATACTTAAATAAATACATAGAAACGAGTAGCTATAAAACGAAATTATTTACTTAGTGATAGAAGCTGCTAATTTTCTCCCACTAATATGACCGTACAAAAATTTGGGTCATACAATCTCAGATGGCTTTGTTGTAAGTATAGAATCAAAGATATCACTTACTTTGCTAAGCTTTGCGCCTGGGGCGAAAATCGAAGCTGAGTCTTAAATTTTGTAGGCAGTAGCAAAGAGAAGTTCACTCAATTAAAATAATTCCATTATAAAAGTTTCTCATCTTACTGCCTGTGCACAATTTATAGAAGTTTTCCTATCTGGCGAATTATTTGTTCGTCAATGTCAATCAATGTTTGTTATTTGGGCAAACTGAAAACCACATGTAAAACCTCTAACCTAAGGTTGGAGCACATAACACAGGTCAACAAAAACAAATTTTTGTTTTGCGAATGAGTTTTATTTTATAAGTATATTCTGGTTGCATAAGCAAATATATATAGAAAAGGACGAAATCAAAAATACTTGCTTTTTAAGCAATTATATCAATTTGACCATTTTTTCGCGCCCATTAATGTCGGTTTTTGTGGGCTGTCAAAAGAGAGGGAGCAGCACGGGAAATAGTGTCGCTGGCATCGCTCGTTGTGTACGACAGTATGTGTTTGCAAATTGTAGAGGAATAATGTGTTTCATAATTTTGTTTTCTGTAAAAACCAGAACAAAATGTCTTCGGGAAGTTGTAAACGAGGCGCTGACTCGTTTTACTATATTTGCGGCGAATTTACAACTAAAATGAGAGAGAACAAATATGATTTAATTTAGTATTTGAAGAATTTTTTTTCAAAGCTTTCAGAGCAAAAATAAAAGGTGGAATCTTTGTAGGAATGTCTCAAAAAAATTTATAGATTGTGATATTTTCCGGATTAGCAATGAAAAAAGAAACAAGCGCGCAATATATAATGTCTCCAAATATGCACATATTGAATTCTAATTATATAAATTTTGAGATAATAAGAGGGCTTATTCGAAGGAACAAGGAGAACGATTTCATCACGATTTTATGGAGATTGAGAGACGTTACCAAGACCAGTCTACAGTTTTTTAATAAATTATTTATATATAATTGAGTTGAATTATTTACTTTTTTTATTTTTCTAAGTAGGAGGCAATTTTGAAACTGACCGGTGGCTGTGGGTTTAACTGAGTATGAGTGAGTGAAAGTGAGTGAGTTTTTGACACTAACCTCTATTGCTCTGTTTTCTATATTCTATTTAAAAATACTTAAAAATTCAGTAATTTTTTCTCAAAATAAATAAATATAAATAAATAATATAAATAAATGATAAGAAAACATATGAGAAAATAAAACCGTTTTCTTTATTTTTAACGAGTTCTGCATCATGTTATAACCGCCATGTTTATTCAATCTCACATATCCATTAATTGATTCAAAATATAAAATAATTACAGGAACTTATTGATATGGAAGATGATCACACGGAGAAACACTCGCTTAGCAATGATTTCATGGGTTCAGAACGCAGTCAAGTAGATGGAGCAATACGGCATCCAGGTAATTACACAAATTTCAATTAAGTATATATCGGAACAACACAAATATGTATATGGCATTATTATTTGAATGCGTCAGTATTTGTAGATTACCGCTAGAAATCTTAAATTTCTATTAAAAACACCATAGCAAAACTTTAATTATTTTAAAGCACTGAGTTTTGAGTTGTTCGGCCAACAATATTTGTTAGAATAGTGAACTACGCAAATAAGAGTTAAATCATGGAATAAATACAACTGCGCTAGATATTGACACGCTACTTATGCTTTTATTTTTTACCAGTTGATTGCATTAATTAAATGATAATATTAATACACAATAAGCTATTGAGTCTTGGTTTGACGAGTGAGTGTTAGTACGCGCCAATTAGTGGGAAATGTAATAAGTACATTTAATGAAAAGAATAATATAATATAACATGTCGAACTTTAAGTTGTGGGTTATTCCATTTATCGATTTTGTACTTCCAACTATGATTGCTGTGATTAAATCTTAAAAATTCCTTGAGTAATGAAATTCAGTAGCGAGATAAGTTTAACTGTCACCACAAATTCTCATTTCTGTAACATATTGCTCATTTTGCTTTAAATATTTAAAAATACTGACATTTCTATAATGAATTAGGTTCTATTATTTAATTTCTTTTCTATTAGTCCTAAGAGAACCGCAAAAAAGTGATGTTTCTTTTACCTTTCAAAGGAGTATTCTTTGTTGCAAAAGACGTCTCGCGTAACCTGAACTCAATCACTGTTATAAAAGACCATATAAAGATGTCTTCGAATGTATGGATTGATGGTACAATAGATTATATTTTGGTAGTGTCATGTAAATATTATACTCCGAGACATAATCACACTTAATATTATGGACTGTGGGGGTTAACACAACACACTAAACCCATAAGTGTAATAACTTGAAAGGTGATATCTTAGGCTTAAACAAATAAATCTGAGTCTACCAATTTTCTATTTTTTAGGTTAAAGAAATAAGTTAAAGTCTCATATCTTCAGACTCAAACTGAGAGAAAGAAAGTTTCCCTGCTTTGCCGGTATAGCATTACTAAAATATTAGTTCAAAATGGGTAACATAAAGTCTCGTAAATGGCAGAGGGCAAGGTAAATATGACATTTGGTGGACACCTGTTAGAACAAAAACGTATTAGATAATTAGTTATACTTTCGAGCAGCATCTCTTATATGAAACATGATAGAGTATGACATTACGACTTGATACTTCGTAAACGAACCGAACTGACAAACTTTCATACTTGTAAGCAAAATACATTCTCTCACGAACTCCAAAAAAAGAAACTGGGCGCAAATTATGTTTTACCCAAGATTCATTGTCATTTGTTTTCTGTTAGATTTTATTAGTTTGTGCATTAAGCAAAATATTTTACAAAAACTTATTCCGCATTCATTTGTCATAAGGCCTTATTTACATTTTTAACCTAAGTATAATGTTGAATACAAATCCAAACAAAATGTTTGTTTGTTGTGTAGTCGCACTGTAATAAAATCTATACTAATACTACAAGTAAAAAGTGCAAAGGTTTAATTGTTTGAATTGAATAGGCTCTGAAACTACTTGACGGATTTGAAATATTCACCGTTGGGATGCTACACTCTCTCCGGTGAACAAAAGCTCTATTATATTTTCAAAAAAGTTAGTTATCCTTACTAAAACGCCTATAATATAACCCAAGGTATAAAACAATTACTTAAAAAGTTAAAAGCTTGACTCACTCGCCCAGTTGGCTCCCTACGAAGCGGTTGTGTGCGGAATTGAATATAAATAATATTAAAAGTTCGATGTTCACATCTCATCATTTGCATATATTATGAGGTCATCTTCTCCCAAATGGGATGACAATCGGAGTGATATGCTAGTTATATATATTTTTGTTATCAAATAGTAATCAATATAAAAAAACGAAAATATTAAATTTTGCAGAGGATCTGGATTCTCTGGATGAGTACGTTGCCGTGGATGTAAATGCTTATGCTCATAAGAAAACTCTGGCACAGGGTATGATGGATTTAGCATTACTCACAGCAAATGCCAATCAGTTGCGCTATGTGGTGGAGACCTATAAAAATCATCCATATTTCTACCCCAGTTTGGTATTATTGATACTTAGTATTGGCTTCCAAGTAAGTTGCACTATTATTCAGCTTTTATAGACACAGTGTAGATTATTGTGGTTTTTCAAACTTTCAGATAGCCGTTGGCGTTGGCTTGATACTCAACAGCCGTTACAACATTGAAGACAAAAAAGAAGTATGTCATGCTGAAAAAGTCAGTAACTACACAATTTGTGGCATTTTTATAATAACTGTGATCAATGTCTTCATTTCTGCGTTTGGTGTGGCGGATGCGCCAGATGGCAAGTAATAGAGGAAACCGCTCCATTAACCAGGGTGCATAAGCTGTCGTGATATTCAAGATTATTGTTTTTTTTTTACGATAAATATCTCATTTGATAAAGTATATTATATATTTCTTTATATATGTAATTATAAGCTAACTTAAGTAATCTCAAATTATTATAATTGTTTTATTACAAATACAAAGCAGCATATATTATATGTATTAGTATGCTTTTTTAAGATCATTTCTCGAATACTTTAAGCACTTGAAATATATAATATTTGTTATATAGAGTATATTAGTAAGTGCATTGAAAAGTTAGCTAAATATAAAATTTTTATATTTTTGCTTAAAACTTTGTTATTCATTCTTATATTTGTTATTCATATGTTCCAAAAGTAAGATAATAAACCTATGGTCGCGTTACTTATGCTTCTTATCTATCTATCTATCTACCATATCGATTTTTTTTTAAAGGTGCTACATAGTGTTGTGCGTGTTTTTTCGGAATCTATTATTCTCCATAATCTCTAAGGCCTCACGTTCTGCAAAAACTCTCGACAAAATCGACATGCTTTCATTTGAATATAATATTGCAATATATATATTTTGCAATTTCAAAACTTTTTTTTAAATCTGGTGCACATGTTTATATTCCTAATTGAAGTAACTAAGTCGTGTAAGTGGGTAAAATACCTCGTTAATTTAACCTATTACTAACGTTTAGAATATACATAATACCTTGATAACTTCACAATCTGTGGAACATGTAATAAGTGAGGCAAAAAGTTTATAACCCTTTTAAATACGAACATCATGTAACATACAAGTAATTTTCACACCTTAATATTATTTAAATATTTTACTAAATGTGGAAATTTTAACCTCTTTTATTGAGATAAGTATACCAGAATGACTTGAATATGAATATTAGCCTGCTCTTTAGAAGTTGAAGTTGTTTTCGAAGAAGTCGTATCCAATTTTTAAGTATGTCATCCGGATTTCTTTTCTTCATTATAAGTTTCAATTCAATTGAATTAAGCCATTTTTACTTCGAACGCAAAAAGACAGCTGGTAACTATTATATATAACTGTAGTGTTAGACCATTTTAATAACCATTGTATACACAATAAAATTATTAAGGTTTCTAGCTAATAGTAAGATTAAATATATTCCTTTGTTGAATACGCTTACAACAGGTAGGTGAAATAAAGATTATCCTAATCCAATAATCAAATTTGATTACGACCTGAGTTCATATAATTCTTGTAATCAGTAAAATATTTTCGTAAGTTTAAGAACTTAGAGATACATATACTTAGAAATGGAATTAGTAATAGTTTATCAATATATTAACTAATTTCGGGTACATTAAGCATTCAGTGAGGGGTAGTAAGATTATTGGAAGTCTGTCCTGTGTGAGGTGTTCTTCCACCAAGGATGGACTAAGTTTCGATATAATCGAACATTTTATTTTCTCGAAATATACAAGAATCAAAGCTGGGGAAATAATTTATATGAAATAAAAATGTTGTATAGGGATTGACCATTCATTATTCAACGGAACTGCGACGGGTTACAATCATATCTGATGTCTTATTAACTTAAACTTATTACTAAGTTACAAATGTATATGATATAAACTAAGCCAAAGCGTATATGAGGAAACATTAAAGCTTGCTAGAATAACGAGAATTATGATATGTAGTATATAGGAACTGGAGTAATTCGTCGGCTGATTTTATACATTATACTATAATATATCCGATATTATAAGTTGACTAAAATTTGCTAATATAAAAAGATACCAGGTCTAAACTTTAAAAATTTAATTCTTTACTGAAATCATATCATATTATGCTCAAAGAAGTATTAACAGAAATCTTTACATTGGGTATAAGAATGTTAAGAGCAATATCAAGATCGATTTTATGCATTTTCGGCATCATTGCGGCCAAAAAAAATGATATTCACCTAATTTGAATAATACATCTCACATAATGACCGATTAAGATAGCATAAACCATACTAGATTAACGAAAATTAATATAATATATGGGGTGCCACATATGCGTAGGGGAAGTTCTCAATCGATTTATTACCTTGTTAGCACAGGTTACATTATTGTTAGGAAATATATCCACTTGTTTTAATAAGTATGTCGGTTCTTCTTTCAGAGTATAAGCTCTTGAAAATTTATAAACCATTTCCAAGCAATATGATTTACTGAAGCGAATTGGTAATTGGGTTATAGGATTTTATATTTTTCAATTAAATTCGTGGTCCGCTTTTGTCTGTATGTAATGCAAATCTCCTCATAGGACCAAGGAATATATATGCCAAGCTTTATCAAGATATCTAAGGTTATCTGCGGGCATACAGATATCTGGAAATTAATTCAACCAGTCATCCTAATTTTTATGTGTATATAACTACACCATATATCTATTTCGATTTGTTTCAGGTGTTACAAACAACCGTTAGTTGAATAAAATTATTATACTCCGTGCAACTTGTTGTCATTGAAATCTGATATTTCTTACAGTTTACGCTTTTGTAAGATTCTGTTATGGGTATTGGAATGAAATTGTGAGACATAAATAAATATTGAATGATATTGAAAAGGAAAGTTAGAATAAGGTATCGATAATTTGCATCTGATTCCAATCTGTAAGATAATGATCGTTTTATTGTTACATACTTTAGGTTTACCTGTCGCTATTATCATAATTTGTACATTTGGTCACACATACCATACTTACGATCACGTGCATATTCGGGTATACTATTATACTTACATATATGTATATCATCAGGCTTTTCCTTAATGAAAACACAGCGCTTATTTGTTCCACATACATATCCATTTACATATATTATATATCTATTTAGTTTAGATTGATTGCTGTCAATATTACAAAAAAAGTATCAGTTTGCATTCTACTCGGTTTGTTGGTATGTTAATGAAACTACGTGTGTCTAATGTACTATATATATCTAAGAACTAATATCACAATTATTAAATTGATTTCGTGAATGCCAATGAAGTGAAAGTTGTGCGGCTCCAGCAAAACTGAAGCATCTTATTAATGGTAAGTTTCCTTATGTTTTTTGTAAAGCCACATAACAAGCTTCAAACATATTTATTGCTTATCTAACAATTCGAAGTCGCACACCAATGAGAAGTGATCCGATGGATACTGGAAGCTCGGTGTGCGATTTTTGCCAACTTCATCGTCTCGAGGAAACTCCAAGCAATTGCGAACCTATCAAAGAAAAAAAAAATCAATCAATATAAATATATATTTTGACAGTTGAGTTAAAGTAGATGCACACCTTAAACTGCTCAGGTGTGTAGAACACATAATCGATTGTGTGACATTCTTCGCCATCTTCACGTATTTTCCATGTGGTATAGGGCGGTTCACATTGTATTGATTTGATCACTTTATCATCGCACAATTGCACGTGCTCGGCATTCACTTCTTCCTCCTCCGCTGACTGCGTCTGACCATCATCACTTGAGTATGGTTTGGCTTTGTGCTCGTTAGCGTTGTCATTATTACATTCATCGCGTTCGACTTTGATGTCTGCATAGGCACTGGCCAACTGCAATTGCTTGCCGCTTAGGACTGTCGCATACACAGGCTCTGTGGGTTCAGCATTAAAGTCGCCACAAATCAAAACGGGTATTTCACCGCAGAATTGTTTCACGAAATGCAATAGATCGCGTCCTTGCTCATTGCGTAGTTTCGCAAGCAAGGAACCGTGACGTGCTTTGAGATGAGTTGTGCATACGCAGAACTCTTTACCGGTACTTTTTACGACGAGATTGACGACAATCGCCACTTGATTGCTTTGTACGCGCCACACCTCCAAAATGCGTGTGTCGAAGTTCTTTAATTCAAATTTGTCGCGTCTAAAGAAAATGGCGCAACCATCGGGACCGTTATTCTCCTCAATGTACAAACATGGCGAATCGGGTTTCGGAAAGAATATACCTTCATAATTTTGTGTGCCCAAAATTGTTTGCAGAAATTTAAAGTGATCCACTTCCTGTTGCACAACAAAATAATTTATGAAAATGTTCAGCAAATAATTTGAAAAAAAAAATTTATTAAACATTACCTGTAAACAAATAATATCTGGATTGTATTGTAGTATCTCTTGTACGATCAGAAATTTGCGATTCTCCCATGTCAGAGCTTCCTCTGGGCAGCGCACGAAACCGTCATTATTCTGTCCCAACGCTACAAATAGCAAACAAAACAACAAAAAAAACAAAGAGCAAAAAATACAAAAATAAGAAAATAAATATTTTAAAATTCAAAAATGTTAAAAAATGCATGCGAATGAATATCTGTGCCTCATGAATTCTTTATGGTCTCACTCGGCTGGCAGACAAAGACAATTTGAATATCCTGTTTAGAACTTACTTTGTGATAAAATATTCCACTGCAAAACGCGTATATGATTGGGTAACGTCGAGGCCACGTTATAATCTGAAAGCGTATAAAAACAAAATGTTCATTATCATCACTAAATTCATAATCAAGAACATATAGTGGACAGTCTCGTAATCGACAGTGTTTGTAAAATGAAATGTGGCATATTCTATATAGGGTTTTAAATGGTTATAGAATGTTATGTAATATTTACACACATTATACCAGCATAAAAAGCTTTGAGGAAAATTCCTATTACATCTATATCTGTAAAGTATCTTAAACGAATTATCGAAAGAGCAATCACGAATAAGCTTTAGAATCGTTAGACTTTGGCGGCGATTAAGTAGCCCTCAAAGTTATCGCTCGAGAACAAAAGAGACTCACTCTCCCTTATCTTGACATTAAAAACAAAACATGAGCAGACTTAACTCGTCTAGTAAGTTCATATGAACAATGTACTAGATCTTAATTTCGATATTTGTTCAATATTTACGTATTATTTGGAATAAGAATCCACTGCTTACAATGTCAAATGTTATATCTTTGGAATGGAATGGAAAGTGAACTAACTCTGAAGGGAGGACTGTTACAAGTTGAAGAATGGCTTTAATGTACATATATCGTTTTCCAAGTAACATTTTTCGAGTAAACTATCTAATGATTTTGATTTGAATTTATATTTATCCTACGAATTTTCATGTTTCTCAACTCTCTTCTTAAATAAATGGTTTCAACATCAACTCACCTTTGGCCCCTGTATTTAACTTTAATGAGCGCATTCCATCAGTTACGTCACTAGTTAAAGATGGCTTGATGAAGTAGCGGGAAAGCAATTGTGGCTGATGTATACCCCTCAAATGTTTGACGTGTTTCAACAGTTCGGTGGTATTCAGACCTTTCGGTATCTCTAGGCTGTCATCCTGCGAGTCGACATTGTTGATTTTCGGTGCTGAGTTGAATGAGCCCATCCTAGAATAGTATGAAAACAGAAAAATACAAATTAATTTGGTTAAAATAGTTTACAAAAAGTACTCTGTGGTTTTAAATCGTTTATAAGTTAGTTTAAAAAAGGACACATTAAATATGAGAATAAGATCACAGGAAAATGTGTTTTGTTTATAGCTTTCAGATCAAATAATATTGAAAAGCGTACGCTATGGATGTCAATATTGTATCTTATTCCGTGTGAATACAAATTAAGATCCAAAAATACTCTACGAAGAATAATAACTCCATTTAGTGAATACTTGTGCCTTTTTGTTAATAGTTTATGAAAATATTTCTTATTTTACTTAAGACTTTATAAATACTAAGTAGGGATGATGAAAAAGGCCGATTTCAATGAGCAAAGAGGATTTCAATAAACTCCATTGCATTTCTAACATCACAGCTTCACTCCTAAAATATACTTCAAACGATGGAAATTGTATAAACGTTCTATTACATTGAATGATCGGTCGTTGAAAATACTTGAATTGACTAGTCTGATGCTAATAATTAATAACGTTCTCAAAGAGGGTTATATAAAGTATTAAAAGAACAAATCGTAATTCAAAACTATATATGAAAATGTGATTGAATCTAAATTAAACGAACGTAAGTTAACCAACAAATGAGTGATTCTTTTTCGGTATGAAAACATCACACCATTTAATTAATTAATTAATTAGAATATTATTTCAAAGTTTACTTTTTTTATTGTGTGATCCGATTTTATTCTCATCTGATTTCTGACTAAACTCATGAATCTGCAAAGTAATCTTTAGAAGTACTCGTATTGCGGTTATAATTTGGTGTGAACGAAATTAAAACATGCATAAACTGAATTCATTCACAAAAACGTATATAAATATGTGCATACATATATATGTTTGTACTCACAATGCCTTGCGTAAATATAAAGTTGCCATAAATAAACTATGGTTATGCCTTACGCACATGATAACCAACGCTTTTCTTCTAAAGAAAGTATATAAGTATTACTAATCAAGTTTTATTTTTAAGAATCAAGTACCAATTTAAATGAAAGTGAATTTTGCTGGTGAATGCTAAATATAAATGATAAATTAAATGATGATAACCAAGACTGAAAAAGAATGAAAGTTTGCAATATAAATACTTTGTTATTTGTGGATTACCGTTAGACATACTTATATATTTGTAAATGTTAATGTATTCTTAGTTTATAAGATTATGCAATCAGGAAAACCTTGTTGAATAGTTAAGAAATTTTTAAGTCAGTAGTAGATGATATTTTTTCTTCTTTAGTATTATTTTATTATTTGTTAATGTTAATAACAATTTTTGTAAGTACGAAATTTTTTTATTTAAAACAAACTTGGATAATCTTACTTTAAAGGAATCATATAACTTATTAGATTTAATTTATTGTGATGACTGACTTCCATTATTGAAAATGAATGAAAATTAAAAACGAAATGGAAAAATTGAAAATAATACAAAAATCGTCAAAATAAAATAAATTCATATACGTTCATATAAATAAATTTATTAAATGTAAAGGTGCGTCCCTGCTCTTTTTGCAACAGCAAATGCAAAATAATCGGTGATTTAGCATCCTCAAAATTATTGAAAAAATGTCGTAAGTACTTTACATTAAGGCAATCGATTTTAAGCCATCTAACTCTCCATAAGTCATTAAATAAAATTAAACGTAATTTAACATAATACAATACTTGTATATCGCCTTTTGATAGCGGATAACTTCCACAAAACCAATAAAATGGTACGCAGAATACACGGTTTTAATTTACTAATTTTTATTCAAAGCTTCGATAAAAAAAAATCTAAAAATGCATTATTGGAATATTTTAAATACATTTTTTTCAACAAATGCATGGATGATAATGTTCATCCAAGCAACACACCTATTATTCTTAAGGCGTCGTAAGGATGATCAAAAACGGAATTATTATTTTAACTTTTCACACTTCATTTCAAATTTTTTTAAAACTTTTGTTTAAATATACTATTTTTTTGTACTTTTTTTCAATTAAAATGACATTGAGGCTTCTAATATACATATATGTAAATATTAAATATCGATTATATATTGATATTGCCTGATACAGTTACTATATATCTAAATTACTAAAAAATGGTGGACAAATTTAAGTCCTTCAGATAAAAATATATGTATGTACATACATATTTTGTATTAGAAAATGTATAATATATATAGTTTATAGCTTTTTTTCTGTAATTCCACGCAATAATTTGCCGGCTTCGAATGGTTTTCTCATCTGCTTAGGCTACAAATTGTCTAATGGCAAAAAAGAAGAGAAGCTAGGCGTATGAGTAATACATGAATGTACAATGTCTGCAAACCTGATTTCGTATACAAACAAACTACTTGGCAGCTCAACAAAGTGGCGTCAATGAGTTGGGAAAAACCCAACCACAATTGAATGCAGGTTTACAAACAATAAAAACAAAGTTAAAATAAAAATGTAATCAAATAAAAGGCTTTTATGTTTGCCAATGTTTACGACGTTTAATTGAAAATTATGTGAAATAAATAATACAATTATTTATAAATAATACAATTTATTATAATTTACTTAATAATTTGCTTATTTTGCATTTTAAAATTACCTAGTCAACATCACTTTTTGCAAATACGACTTCCGATCATTTTTGCAGGGCATTTTATTGGCGCGTTTTATATGCATAGCTTCCTCCATTTTCACAAATAGATTGAAAACACGTTCCTTAATTGTTCGAAATGCACTTTTACTTTCAATAAGCCGCACAATAAATATTACGTTATACTTCAGAAGTTCGCGATTTATTCAAAAAAATACTTTGCTTTTGTGCTTTTCAGCTAAATTGAACCAAGTTCTTAATGAAAATTCAGTGCTTTACTCGTAGTAAGTTAGTTGTTTGTGTTATTGAAATATGTTCTTAGTCATTTAATCAAACCGTTCTTGAAAGCCGCTTAGATGAAACTGACTCGAATCAAAATGTGACTTATTAGAAACTGGTATTTCAATAAGAATTTAACTGCTATTTTGTTGGGTTCGAAATCGTTTCGATTTTGATTCTCACGTGTGCCAAACAACAATGAGAACACGGTTGACATCTTGTTTCGAGTTTGCTTCAGCGTCAAGCTGGACAGAGCGAATGGAGCGCTGCTCTTTCGTTTTCTTTTTTTTTCATTTTTATTTTGATGTTCTTTTAATGTTTTGTTTTTTTGCTGTTCTTTTTTGTTATTTTTATTGTTTTATTTTTTGTACTCCTTTTTTGTCGCTGTATTTCCATTTTCTTTGCATTGTTTTCATAACTTAGGGTGAGTGGTTGTACAGATAAATGGATTTATATATAAATGTAGTACTCCAAACAAGCATATGCATGTATGTACCTATAGCTGTAGGATACGTTTGTATCTTTTGTAAACGCACATATTGTATTTCATATTCTCTGGACAATCGCTGGGTCAGCCGCCGGACAGCGACGCTGAGTACTGGACCACATCTAACTCGTTTAGTTAAGTATGTATTTGCATAGATGTATACATACACATAAGTACAGTATTGGGTAAAAAAATAGCTGACTGAAAACATACCGCTTTTTTATTACATATTTTTTACTTCTTAAAATTATGAACTGGTCAATAAGAATAGAATGTATTAGTTTTAATATAAATAAGGCTTAAACATCGGCCACACTGAAGCTGTATTACTCTTCACAAGCGCATTTCTTATAGCATAAAAGGATATAAAGAAATCTTTATCCTGATTTTGATAGGTCAGTTTATACGCTATAGTAGTCGAATCTGAACAATATGTTCGGATATTGTAGCGTTGTCCTGGAATTCATGCCGCATTTAGTGAAGATAATATTTCAAATAAACAAGTTTTCAATACAAGGTCTTGATTTTAATCGATTAGTTTGTATGGCAGCTATATTCTCTAGTGGTCCAAAATCAGCAATTCCGACAAATGAAGACGTGTGCAAAAGTCGAGACAGCTTGTTACGCTGATTATTTATACATGCATATATTATATATACAAACTTCGTGTAAGCTTAATACAAGTATATCCTGTTTAGGTTGTAAATATAAAAAATTTAATCAATAAAATTATATTAACATTTAGATTTCAGAATTACTTTTAATTTATCCTTTTGAAGACCTAAGAAGAATCTGAATTTAATTTTTCCCTAAATTTAGATCAGTATTCCTCTACAAAATGTACATTTCTGTATGTATATACATATTCCGACATATCTACTGTTGCTAAGTTGCTTTTATATTTTTTGTATTTAAATATTATATATATTTTTTTTATTTGAAGAAAATTTTGTATTAATTAATTTACTTTGATTATTGCTCCATAAATTTATTTTAAAAATTTAATCATAATCTTCCTTATTTATCTAACGAAAGACAGAAAATTCACATTATCAGTTATTAGCAATAAAATTAGGAAATCTTTTTTCGAAACCTTGTAAAATCAGTTCTGAATAAAATAAATTAATTAAACTTATTATTAAATATTTTAGTGTAATTATTGACAATTGGAATATTTAAGCTTTAAAGATAAAGTAAGTGAAATAACTACTTATTCAGTTAGCTATCGTTTACTGAAAAAAATAATTCCAATTAATTTTTTCACCACTGTACATATATTTTTATACACATTAACACATATACACATTATGATCCATGTCGGCGATAATTTTGAACTCAATTACATGCATATATGACTTCTCTACACCTCTCAGACTCCCTGACTCCCTGCAACCCAATCCGACTACACGTATAGGTAAATCACCCACCACTGTTTGCGCTCGCTGAGCGCGTGGCTCTTTTTTCACAACGGCCGATACTGTTACAAGCCAAATACCGATGTATATGTAAGCAAATATATACATACATACAACTGGCATATATGCAAATATATTTGTTAAATTGTATTCTTCGAATTCGCACCCACTCAGAGTTATTG